TGCTGTACCTCATTTCGCTTCCATGCTACTTGCCCCTGAGGGAGACCCGGATGAACCAGACATCCCGACCCCGCGCTCTTACGCAGAGGCGATTACGGGTCCTTACTCCTCTCAGTGGCAGGCAGCCATGGATGCCGAGATGGCATCTTGGAAGTCCACAGGCACTTACGTCCACGAGGTTCCCCCGTCTCGCGTGAACATAGTCGATGACATGTGGATTTTCAGGGTGAAGCGGCCGCCGGGTTCTCCGCCTGCCTTCAAGGCGCGTTATGTTGCTAGAGGCTTCAGCCAGCAACAGGGGGTCGACTACTTCCAGACCTTCTCCCCCACCCCGAAGATGACTACTCTTCGGGTGTTGCTGCACGTCGCTGCTCAGCGTGACTAAGAGTTACATTCTCTGGACTTCACTATAGCTTTCTTGCAGGGCAGCCTACACGACGAGATCTGGCTGCGCCGCCCACCTGGCTTCACTGGGTCGTTTCCTGCAGGTACCCAGTGGAGCCTCCGGTGGCCAGTCTACGGTCTCCCCCAGGCGTCTCGTGAGTGGCATGACACACTGAGGACTACACTTGCGGCTCTGGGGTGAAATCCTACTACTGACCCGTCGCTGTTTCTACGCACTGACACGTCGCTCCCGCCGTTCTACATCCTCGTGTACGTCGACGACCTCGTCTTTGCCACTGCTGACACTGAGGCACTGACCCTTGTGAAGTCGGAGCTGCAAAAGAGACACTCCTGCACTGACCTGGGTGAACTGCGCAGCTATCTTGGCTTGCAGATCACTCGAGACAGAGCACGGCGCACCATCACACTGACTCAGTCACACATGGTGCACCAGGTCCTTCAGCGCTTCGGCTTCCAGTTCTCCTCGCCACAGCCCACTCCTCTGTCTACCGGCCACTCGCTCTCAGCTCCACCTTTTGACGAGTCTGTAGAGCCGAGTGGTCCGTACCCAGAGCTTGTGGGTTGCCTCATGTACCTGATGACGTGCACACGACCTGACCTCGCGTACCCTCTTAGCCTCCTAGCTCGCTACGTGGCTCCTGGTAGGCACCGAAAGGTGCACTGGGATGCTATGAAGAGGGTACTGCGCTACTTGTGCAGTACGTCGGGCATGGGGCTCGTGCTTGGAGGACGGGGTCCAGTTGTCATCACTGGTCACTCAGACGCTTCTTGGGTTGATGAATCAGCTACACAGCGGTCGTCACAGGGTTACACCTTCAGCCTCGGTTTCGGCTCTGCTTCCTAGCGGTCTACCCGCTCGTCTTTGGTTCTCAACTCCAGTTATGAGGCTGCGATCTACGCTGGGGCCATGGCTGCACAGGAGCTACGCTGGCTCACCTACCTGCTGACTGACTTGGGAGAGCAGCCTCGTTCGCCTCCAGTTATGTACGTAGACAACAAGGCCATGATTGCCTTGTGACAGGAGCACAGACTGGAGCACAGAACGAAGCACATCGCTCTGCGATACTTCCTTGCTCGAGAGTTGCAGCAGCGTGGCCAGCTTCGTTTTGCGTACGTGGCCACTAGGGCCAACACTGCTTATATATTCACCAAGGCACTTCCGCCTGGTGATCATCAGCGCTTCTCTACTGTGTTAGGCCTTGTGCCTAATTTGCCTCACATGCTCACTGTGTGACTTTGCTTGTACTGTGATTTATATATATGTATACATGCATGCTTACACTTGCTAGGTTGTGTTCACTGTATTGCTTGTTCTCCTTTATATAATTCTGCATGTGAACTGGCTTTGTGGCCCTTTCCTTGTGCTCGGACTGTGTGGTGACTTTGTGATCCACCCTGAGCTTGCTTTGCTTTTCTTGACTGGTCTTGTGACCACTTGTTCTCCCCCATTTTGCATATGGGGGTGTGTCAAAATGTTATAGTGCTTACATTTGTGTAGGCTCTAATGGGGTAGCCCATAAGGGGTACAACCCAATTAGGGTTAGTACTTGTACCCAACTCTTTCATAGTTCATTCACTCTCGTTCATTCCTTTGACAGCCTTCTGGCGTAGCTGGAGTTGTCAGCGTTCATCGGCTGATGATGACTCTCCGGTACGTTGATGTGGGTGATTAGTTGCTCGATTGGATCAAGATCAACAAATGTCATTCCTAAGGTGACATTAGAGGATTGATTGACATGATTTTCTCCCGTTTCCCTGCTGTCATTGCTGGCATGATAAATGCTTGTACCACTAGATAGTTATAACATATTTGCAGAACTTGAGTTTTAGCAGATCTTAGAATCCAAACTTGTGCTCGTATCATGTTAGAATAAGAAATGGATGTTTGGATAGGATATGTATGCTTAGAGTAAGACAGCAGAAGCCTTTAAAGGTTGACCTTGACCATAGTGAATGTAAATGACAATATTATCATAAATAATTATTACATTGCAATAAATAGTCCTAGCTAGCCATGTACTCTGACGGGTACTGTATTCTTCCGCATAAAGGACCTGCCGGAAAGATAGTCCCAGAGGACTCTATCGCGGAAGAGGGTATTTTATAACGAGTTAACGGCGTGTTGCAATTCCCGGTGCATTGCATCGGCTCGGTTCGGGGCACGGGTTTTGGAAGGCTCCAGGCAAGCGGGAGGCCGAGTCAATTCGGTGCACCGACTTGGCCCGACATGCCCCGAGCCGAGTCAGTGCACTGCATCACCTTGGCTCGAGCCAGCACGACCTGGCACGTGCCAGCAAATTTACACCAATCCGCCACTCTGACCTCGCCAAGCTTGAGTAGTCGCCAATAGCCCAGGTTACAGCACTGTTTTGGACACCTGACTCGTGCCAGGAAATCGCATCACAACTACCTCGAATTTCATGACGAAATTTTGAGGCTCCCGAGGCCCGAGGCTGGCATGACCCGGCTCATGCCAAATCGAGCCGAACCGATGCAGTGTACCGGGAATTGTAACACGCCGTAAAAGTTAGAGGACCCCCCTTTTGAGAGTTATTTCCCTCTGCTGCACATCCCACTGTGGGTCAATCGCCATTGGTTTTCCCATAAACCATTTCCGTGATCTACGGAAACTGCCTGAAAGACTTCGTCATGAAACGTGGGGTGGAGGAGACACAGCTGGCTGTACAGTACAGTAACAAGTACGGAACAGTGACTGTTTATTCTGTTAAAGCTCCATCTGTTCCCCTGTACCGCACTGTAACGCCTGGGATTCAGCAAAAACCTGTAGTGGAAGGAACCAGACTCGACCAATTGAAAGCACATCACTTGGCGGGCGATGCGGCTGTCGCCTGTCGACCAAATTCGACCAATCGAAAACAACCTCTGCAATGCTGTTCCGTGTTCTTGGTGCTTCGCTGGCTGACAGAAAAAATCGGTTGGACTCGTTCAGTGAGAGGAACTCCATGAAGCCAAGATGATGGGGTGTGCCACTGGAAACTTTGGATGTTTTCATCGCAACACAACTTACACACTCGCTAGCCAATTGACTACCAGTACGGAACAAGACAAAACCCGGCTTGTCACTGTTCCTAAGATAGTTGCACCGCGGCTTTAATCACTCATCATCCACTCTCTAGAGCAGGGCTGTCGATTGGTTTTAGGCCAACACTTTAGTGGCTGAGGTTCCCTGTTTCCAGCCCTGAAAATTCCGGGAAGCGGCTATTTCCAACCCTTAAGCGTCCGCGAAAGGCTCCATCTTAACACTTGAATTCAGGGAACACTTTAGCGTTCAGGGCAGATTTCCTCGACATTCACAAGCGCACTCCACTCTAACACTGGAAGCCGTAATTGTCTCAGATCCCTAGCTACCTTCCATCAAATTTGAAGTGGCAGGCTTGCGGCTCTAACAAGGGGTGGGGTGGGGGACAAGGGGGGAGGAGAGGGGGGGGGCTCCGGGAAAGGCCCCAAACTTGTACGGCAAATCAGGGAAACCCCTCAAGTGCCCCCTGTAAGAATCAGGGAAGGCCCAGCCCACGCCCGTTAGAATTAAGGGCTGTACAAAAAATCAACCATGTGAATTCGGACCCTGGAGCAAAGTCAGACCTTAATGTTCAGGGCATTAAGGCCATATGGCCTTGAATCAACAGCCCTGCTCTAGAATCGAAACGAGAACAGAACACTCACCTGAGCAACTAGAATTGCGACTGACCTTGATGGATATTTGAACTCTTTTCGATCTCCCTCAAACCGTTGATGGGTCGTTCATTCCACACATTTGGGAAGTCCCAACGACAAGATGCCTGCGCACGCGCATTCACTGCGCTATTCACGTTCTCGTGTCCCCTTGCGGAAAAAAAGTCAACCACCAGCAGGCAAGCACCACACTGTCATGCCACCACGAGGAGCAAAGCTCGAATACAGCTCTGCTAGTTCTTCTGCTCTGTATTTCCCTCATTCACTGGAGCTCTTCAGGAACCAGTAACTGGATACGAGACCAACGCAACCTTGTCGATGCTCTGATTTCGCTCAAAACTCTTATTCTGTGTGTCACCTCCGTAATCACTTCGCAAGAACTGGCGATCATGGCAACCGACCAACGTCTTTCTCACACGGAAATGGCCGAAGCACACTTGTCAATACGGGTGGACTCACGGAACTTTCGCGACGATAACGGAGAGAACCAGGCGTCCAGACAAACAACAGCTGTCGATCTTGAGACGATAGAATGCGACGAAGCAGGCAGGTCGCACGCAGAAAGCGACGTCGCCGAGGGCTCCGGCGACGCATTACCCCTAATTAGCAGGTCAACGATCAACCCGCACCGGCGAAGTCCACCGCAAGATACCGGCGAAGCGTCAGATTCCACGTCAGTAAACGGCCAAGCGAACAGTTCAACGGAACCGACAGTTCAATGTCGAATTCTTTGCGGCCCGAGCAACAAAGTCGCAGACGAATGCAGCGACGACGATTCCGACGACGCCTTCGGCGACGGCGACAGCAGTTCGCGAAAGCAGTTTGAGAAATCCCTCTCCGTAGGAAGCGCCGCGAGCGGCGGCGCCGGAAGCGGAGAGGCAAATGACGGGAAACCGAACGACATGGAGGCACCGATCCGCGTGCGACGCGTGGACTTCGACATCAGCAGCGAGAACCACTACGTGATCGTGATTCACGGCACGTTCGACGCGCCGCCACCCGGCGGAGCGCCGACGTGGTACCAACCGCCGCCTGCCGGCGAGCAGAATTTCTGCCGGAAGCTCAGCCGGCTGCTCGCGCTCGGGCCGATCGGGCAGGACGCGGTCTGGCGCGACTTGCCGTGCTCCGCGCTCCCGGGAATTCCGTACCCGTTCCACTGGGACGGCTCGAACACTCATGCGGGGCGCGTAACGGCGGCGATGAAGGTGAGGCGTGGACTCTGATTACGGCTGTGCGCAGCGAATCCGCTGCGCTGCCCAATATCTCAGCTATTTGCGGCGGAGGCGGAATCCTCTGAGTCCGTTCGATGTCATCTGCCGGTTCCACATGTTCTCCGGTTTCAAGTGACACAAACACAAACCGTTTCGTTTTTGCTGTTACAGTAAAATTATATTCTTTCCTTCTCTTTATCACCATGGCATACCTCATCGCCTGCTGCCCTCTTTCCTTTCAGCTGCACAACCTGATCGACCAGATCGCGCAGAATGACCCAGCGGCGCGGATCCACCTGGTGGCGCACTCGCACGGCGGGAACGTGCTGCTCAAGACGATCGAACTGGTGAGTCTAGCTTGAAGGCGGCCTAAGTGGTGCAGATAATAAGCTATGGCGAGCCGCAGTGTAGTACGTCTGCGGATGCTGTCGTTCATTTCGTTGCGGAAGGTTTTCGAATTAAAGCTGGTTACCCTAGATGTGAATTTCGCAGAGCTTCACCCTCTTCCCCCACCATCTCTCACACCCCCTCTCTCCACTCTTTCCCTTAACCTTCCCCCCCCAAACCCCCGCCCAACCTCCCCCGCCCCCGTCCGCGCAGTACATGGCGGAAGCTGGCGCGGCGCCCCAAGGACGCATGAAAGCATTTATTCCCCATCAGCTTCTCCCCGTTTCTCCTTTTCAGTACACCAATCCCCCCTTCCCCCTCCCCCCCCCCCTCTCCCTCTCCCCTTTAACCCCCGCCCCCGCCCCCCCCCGCGCACAGTACATGGCTAAGCTGGCGCGGCGCCCCAAGGCGGAGTGGCACCCGGCGGTGGCGCAGCGGTTCTGGGCGGCGCACCGGCGCAGCTACGATTTAATCAAGAAGTGGCGGCGGCTGGAGTTGTACGATTCGTGGTGGCGCTTCTTCCCCTTCCTCGTCGTGTACCGAGGGTGAGTGCGGGAGTGAGTGAGTAGGGAGTGAGTGAGTGAGAAAAGTTGAACACGGCACAAGGGAGGGAAGTGGCCTAGCAGTAATGACTGGGCCAGGTGATCTGGGCGGCGCGCTGGCGCAGCTATGAGCTGATCAATCAACAAGTGGCGGCGGCTGGATGCAATAAGCGAGATTTTGAGACGTAAAAAAAAACGCAGCTATGAGCCGATCGATCGACAAGTGGCGGCGGCTGGTCCTGGGCTGCGCGGATCCTGGTGGCGCTGCTGGTGAGTGAGAGGAGTGTAGGGAGTGAGGGAGGGAGCGAGGGCGAGTGAGTGAGTGAGTGAGTGCGTGGGGAATGACAATGCAGAAGGGTGGGAAGCTTTGTAGTGGTAGTAACTGGGGTAGTAACTGGGGTAGTAACTGGGGTAGTGACTGTGGTAGTAACTGGGGTAGTAACTGGGGTACTAACTGGGGTAGTAACTGGGGTAGTAACTGGGGTAGTAACTGGGGTAGTAACTGGGTTAGTGACTGGGGTAGTAACTGGGGTAGTAACTAGGTTAGTAACTGGGGTAGTAACTGGGGTAGTAACTGGGTTAGTAACTGGGGTAGTAACTGGGTTAGTAACTGGGGTAGTAACCGGGGCAGTAACTGGTTTAGTAATCGGCAGTGGCCGGATTCGCTCCTGGACGTGCGAGCCATGCACCAGCGCCGCTTCCTATACCCCTCTGCACCGGATTCCACTCCCTCTCACCCTTCTGCCCGCATCCCCCCTCTGCCCCACTTCCCACCTCCCTATGTGCAGGTTCAACGGGCAGAGGGTGAGCGGCGTGAAAGAGACCTACCCATGGGCGCACCACCGATGGCAGGATTCCCACCTCCACCTCCCAGCCGTCCGCCAGTGCCGCTTCCTCTACCCCTCTGCACCGGACTCCATTCACTCTTTCCCCTTACGCCCCCCTACCCCCACCTCTCTTCACCCAGGTTCAATGGGCAGAGGTGAGCGGCGTGAAAGAGACCTACCCATCGGCGCTCCACCAGTGGCACGACTCGTTTCTCGACCTGCCAGCCGTGCGCCAGAGCCGCTCCTCCACCCCTCTGCACCGCATTCCACTCCCTTTCACACCGCCCCCCCCACTCCTTCCACCCCCACCTCCCCACGAGCATGTTCAACGGGTAGAGGGTGAGCGGCGTGAAAGAGACCTACCCATGGGCTCTCCACCAGTGGCTCTACTCCCTCCTCAACCTCCTAACCGTGCGCCAGCTTTGCCTCATCTACCCCTATGCACTATACTCCACTCCCTCTCTCCCCACCCTACTCCCTCCCATTCTCCCTTCACCCACGGGCAGGTTCAACGGGCAGAGGGTGAGCGGCGTGAAGGAGACCTACCCATGGGCACTCCACCAGTGGCTCGACTCCCTCCTGGACCTCCCATCCGTGCGCCAGCGCCGCTTCCTCTCCTTCCGCCAGGCCACGTCCCCCGTGACCAACGCCCTCGGCTCTCTGGTGTTCCTGGGCACGCCGTTTTACATCAAGAAGTGGCAGCGCCACGGCTTCGTGCGCATGCTGCTGTCCGTGGGGGTGGGCGTGCTGCTCACGTATCTCTTCATTCTCGCGTACACGGCGCTGTGGGAGCTGCTCGTGCTGCTCATGGCTGGCCGCCCGCAAGAGTGAGTGGCTATGGCTTGGCTTGAACAGTGCTATCAGTGGTGGCTGTGATTGTGCGGCTTCGTGCGCATGCTGCTGTCCGTGGGGCTGGGTGGGTGTGCTGCTCACGTACCTCTTCATTCTCGCGTGTACAGCGCCCTGGGAGCTGCTCGTGCTGCTCATGGCTGGCCGGCCGCAAGAGTGAGTGGCTTGGCTTGAGTCGAAAAGTGCTGTCAGTTGTACCCGTGATTGTGTGGGGCTGGGCGGGCGTGCTGCTGTCCGTGGGGGCAGGCGTGCTGCTCACATACCTCTTCATTCTCACCTACACGGCGCTGTGGGAGCTGCTCGTGCTGCTCATGGCTGGCCGCCCGCAAGAGTGAGTGGCTTGGCTTGCAACAGTGCTATTGGTGGTGCCTGTGATCTGAGCATTGCTGTCAGGGGGGGCTGTGTTTGTGTGCGGCTGTTGGTGCTGCTGGTTACACATGTTCCCAGCATCGCGCATCCTCTTCGCAGGTCTTTCTCTCGCTTATCGTGCACTGTCGGACTCTCCCCTTCCCCTCATCCTCTCCTTCCCAGCAGCCCCCCCCCCCGTCGTCCCTCCCCCCAAGCTTATTCTCAGCATGACAACATTGATGGTTACTCTTCTTTGTAACCTCTCAACATCACTCCGTCTTCGCCACAAACCCTCTAGGGCCATTCATCAGTGTCTATTTCAGTCCCATCCCTCCTCTCCTCACCTCCTCTCCTCCCCTCCTCTCCATCCAACTTTTTCCCCTTGCCTCCCAACCCCCCAGGTTCTACGTGGAGTCAGGCCCTCACCTCATCCTCCTTCTCACCTGCCTCATCGCCACTGCCATCATGCTGCTCGTGCTCCTCAAGCTTTGGAACGTCTCAAAGGCCGTCCCCTCCGTCCCACCGTTTTGCTGTGTCCCCTCCTCCCTCCCCTCACTCGCAGGTTTTACGCGGAGTCCGGCCCTCACTTCATCCTCCTTCTCAACTTCCCCATCGCCACGGGCATCATGCTGCTCGTTCTCGTCAAGCAGATCATGGATGTGAGTGTAACGAGGTGTGGGTGTGCATATATTGAGCACTATGTGCGATCATATCCTATCCGAGTGCTACTGGTGGATCACTACGGATTTGTGTGGGAGCTCAACCACACAGGCATGTCGCCACGGGATGACTTTTGAGTCGACTCAAAAACCACACAGGCATGTCGCCACGGGATGACTTTTGAGTCGACTCAAAAACCACACAGGCATGTCGCCACGGGATGACGTTTGAGTCGACTCAAAGACCACACAGCCATGTCGCCACGGGCATCATGCTGCTCGTGCTGGTCAGCAGATCATGGACGCGAGTGTGACAAAGCATGGGTGTACGGAGGTGTAGTGTGCCCAGGTGTGAGTGCACCGAGATGTGGGTGTAGGGAGAGTGAGTGGTGGATGTTGGTACACTCACAGAGAGGCAGGAGAGATTGATGGCATGGCTGTGTGGTTGCCCTCCTACTCACATCCATGGTAAAACTACCACCAACGCCAAAATACCACCCTCCCACCCCTCTCCACCCTCCCACCCCTCTCCACCATCCCACCCCTCTTCACCATCCCTCCCCTCTCCACCCTCCCACCCCTCGTCACCATCCCACCCCTCTCCACCTTCCCACCCCTCTTCACCATCCCACCCCTCGTCACCCTCCCACCCCTCTTCAACCTCTCACCCCTCTTCACCCTCCCACTACTCTCCACCTTCCCGCCCGTCTTCACCCTCCCAACCCACTCGCCATCTCATATTCCCCACTCCACTCCTCATCCTGTCACCCTCTGCGCACCACTGTGCTCTACACCGTCACTGTTGGATCAACCACCCATTTTGTTCTCCGTCCCTCCTCGCCCCACCCACTCGATCTCCTCATGCCTCTCTGCTTCCCCCCTCCAGGCCACGAGCAACACGGTGCTACACAGCAACAATTTCTGCCACAACTCCTTCGCTCTCCTTCGCCACTCATCCGACTTTCTCTCATCCTCCCCCTTCTCCCCTCCTCCCCCTGCTCCCCCCCCCCCCGGCCATGGGCAACACAGTGCTGTACAGCGGCAACCTCTACCACAACCCCCTTCACCCTCTTTCGCCTCTCATTCCCCCCCTTTTCCACCCGGCCCCTCCCCCTCTCCAGGCCACAGGCAACACGGTGCTGTACAGCGGCAACCTCTACCACAACCCCCTTCACCCTCCTTCGCCTCTCATTCCCCCCCTTTTCCACCCGGCCCCTCCCCCTCTCCAGGCCACAGGCAACACAGTGCTGTACAGCGGCAACCTCTACCACAACCCCCTTCACCCTCCTACGCCTCTCATTCCCCCCCTTTTCCACCCGGCCCCTCCCCCTCTCCAGGCCACAGGCAACACGGTGCTGTACAGCGGCAACCTCTACCACAACCCGGCCTTCGACTGGTCGCCTGCCATGTCCGCCCTCGTCATTCACGCCGGCAAGCTTGATGAGGTGAGTCAATGCAACCCCCCAACCCAAGCATCCCGTACCACCCCGCAAGGGTCGTCTCTCACAGGGCGAGTGCCCTTCCACTGGTCGCCTGCCATGTCCGCCCTCGTCATTCACTCCGGCAAGCTTGATGAAGTGAGTGCGCCATCCCCTGCCACCCCCTGCCACCCCCATTCGTCCCCACCCTCGTTCACTCACCAGGCGAGTGCCCGTTGACTGGTCGAATAGCATATCACGTTTCCCACCTTCCTTCACTGTTTCTCCTCTCCTCACCTTACTCGTCTCTTCATTGCTTTGCCATCTCTCGAATGAAACACCCACCTTCCCCCCCACTCCCATTCTGCCTCTCATTCCCTGCCTCCCTTTCCTCTCCTCCCCTCCCCCTCCCTCCCCCTCACCGTTCCCTCTTCTCCTCCTCCCCCCAGGCGAGCCTCGCGCTATCCATGGAGCCAATCACGCGAGCCTACGTCTTCCCGCACCTGACAAAACTCCTGAAGCAGCCCCCCTGGGCGCCGCTCCCCAAGGCCCCCACACGCTACGCCCCCCAGCGCGTGTGGTGGGCATACCTGTGTCACTGCATGGTCGTGCTCGTGTGGGACATTCTCTTCTTCCTCCCTGCAGCCGTCTTGTCTCTCTTCTCGCACCTCATCGCGCCGCTGGTGACCAGGTGGATTCAGCAGGCTGTGGTGGCGGTCAGCTTTGGGCTGTCTCCAGGGGATTTGAGTTATGCATACGTTTATGTGGACGAGAATCTCGACATGGAGCTGGCTACACAGCAAGTCGACCACTGGAACGTGCAGGTATGTAACATAGAAGGGTGGAAACATGCGGGGTGGTTTAGAAGGGTACCAGTGTTCTGTTAATGTACCGTCACTGCCACCCACACCTGCCTGAGCTATGCGTACGTTTATGTGGACGAGCATTTGGATATGGAGCTTTCTACCCAGCAAGTTGACCACTGGAATGTGCAGGCTCGTAACATAGAAGGGTGGGAGCGAGCAGGTTGGTTCCGTTGGTATCCTGTAACTGCCACCCTACTGACCTGAGCTACGCGTATGTGATGTGGACGAGCATCTTGGTATGGAGCTTTCTACCCAGCAATTGAACCACTGGAACGTGCAGCAGTCTAGTTTTGAGACGCCTCAAAGCAAGTGAATCACTGGAACGTGCAGGTACGTAAGATGGGATGGCTGGCTTAGAAGGGCGGGAACAAGCAGCTTGGTTTGGTTGGTATCCTGTCACTGCCACCCAAACCTGCTGGAGCTATGCGTATGTGTATGTGGACGAGCACATCGATATGGAGCTCTCGACACAGCAAGTCGACCACTGCGTGCAGGTATGGAACAGGAAAGGGTGGGGAAGTGAAAGCTGGTTTGGTTGGAGTCTGCTACTGCCAACCAAACTTCCCTGAGCTATGCATACATGTATGTGGACGAGCACCTGGATATGGAGCTGGCCTCGCAGCAGGGGGATTACTGGCACATGCAGGTATGAAACATGGAAGGGCGGGGACATGCGGGCTGGTAACAGGGAACGGTGGGAACGTGCAGGCTGGTTTGGTTGGTATACTATTACTGGCACCCAAACCTGCTTGGTCTACGTGTATGTGTATGTGGGCGAGCATCTGGACATGGAGCTGATTTCCCCTCACCCCTCACCCCTCTCCCCTCTCCCTTTTCCTCAGAAACCTCTCGCTGAGGCAAAGTCCGAGTCACTCTAAGGCGAGCTGATTTTCATTCCCTTTCTCACCCCCTTCTCCCTGCTCATTCTCCCTCCTGTCCCCGCCCCCCGTCCCCTTCCCCCCCTTTCAGAAACTGCTGGCAGAGGCGAAGACCAAGTCACTCAAGGGAGAGCTCATGCCCGGCTATGAGGACGACACCGTGGAGCAACCTGATTGGCTGGAGCCAGTTCTCTTCCTCACTCTCTACCACCCCTTCCCCGTTGCTCTCCTCCCCATCTCCCCATCTCCCTCTCTCCCTCTCTCCCCCCCCCCCCCCTCCCCCCTTCAGAAACTGCTGGCGGAGGCGAAGACCAAGTCACTGAAAGGAGAGCTCATGCCCGGCTATGAGGACGACACCGTGGAGCAACCTGATTGGCTGGAGCCGTCCCCCGCGGCCCATCACCGTGACCGCACGCCTGTTTTTGACAGCAGCAGCACCAGCACTGCCACTGCGCATCAGCAGCCCGAGTGGCTCAAGCTCCCCCCCGCTGCTGCTGTGCAACCCCTCTCGTGCGAGGAGGGTAGTGGAAGTGGGGAGGGTGGCGGAAACGAGGGGGCTGCTGCGGTGAGGAAGAACACTCACAGCGTGTTCCGGAGGCGACGGGGGGCGCGAGGGCTGCTGCTGAGGCGGACAGGCAATGCGCGGAGCAAGGAGGGCGGCAAGGGGGGTCGGCTTGGGTGCCTGGCAGGCGGGACAGAAACGGGTGAGGGAGAAGGGGATGGGGACGGGGAGAGTGACAATGCAGCTGAGATAGTTACATCTGGACCTGGTCCTGTTGCATCCGGTGCTCCATCTGGTGCTGCCCCCACTCCTGCTGGCCCCGGTCCTGCCAGTACAAGCACTGCCAGGGACCCGCGTGAGAAGCTGGCCTTTGAGTTCCTCTGGGACGACCGGGAGCTCTCCCACCTAGCAGAGCAGTCGCAGACGTTCCAGCGCCTCAAGTCCCAGCTCCCCACCATGGGTCGCAACCCTCGGTTGAGCGACCGAGAGTTTGAGCGACAGTTGCAGCAGCTGTGTGTGATGATCGAGGAGCGTGTGGGGGAGATTACAGGGCGGTGTGATTTGAATCACGGGGCGTATTTCCGGGATCCGAGGATTTTGAGAGTGGTCGCACATTTTATTGAGAAGCGGGAGCTTCCGGAGTGGTCTAAGAATGTGGACGGGGATATATGGCGGTGGAATGAGCATTTGAATGAGGTGCACTCGCTGCAGCTGCTGCAGATGTCACAGGGAGGGCGGGGAGTGGGAGGTGATGGAGGGGTGGAAGGCAGTGGGGCGTCTATTTGTCCAGAGTGTAAAGGTGCTTCTGCTAAGCTGAAAACGCTCTTTAGGAGTATCCGGGGGGGGAGTCAGAGGGAAGGGGGCCAGAGGGAGGGCGGAGGGCACGGGTTTTTGAGCGGCCATGCAGTGCATTTTCCGCACATGCCTGATTTCGCCAGTGGCGCACGGACCTTGCATCTACCGCACATGCCTGACTTGGCCAGTGGTGCACGGACCTTGCATCTTCCACACATGCCTGATTTTGCCAGCTTTGGGCATCACAAGAGCAAGGCAGTGGGATTTGGCGCTCCTGCTGGTGCTGCTGGTGGCACTGCTGCTGCAGCTGCTGCTGCTGTTGCTGCTGCTGATGCTGCTGCTGCTGCTGCTGCTGCTGCTGCTGCTGCTGCTGGTGGAGTTTCACGAACTCCTGACAGCCACACAGAGAGGGCGGGCAGCAGTGAGCAGCAGGCACGGCGGCTGATGATGCAGCGATCAATGCCGGTCTCCCATATGTGATGTGAGAGAGGGACTGGTGGGATGAGGGTGGGGGAGCGAGGCCGCGAACGCATGAGAGCCACAATGAGAGGGCGCGAATCGAGGGGCAGCAGGCACGGATGATGCAGCGACCCCTGCCCGCCTCCCATGCATGAAGTAAGAGAGAGGCTGGTGGGTGAGAGAGGACACGGAAACATGAGAGCCACACGGAGAGCATGTGCAGCAGTGGGCAGCAGGCACGGATGATGCAGCGGTCGCTGTCGGCCTCCCGTGCGTGAGTTACGTGAGGCGTTGGTGTGATGAGGGTGGGGGAAGAGGAGGCGTTTTCATGGGAGTGCAGATTTGCTGTCGCTGTCGGCCTCACATGCGTGATGCGAGAGGCGTTGGTGGAACGTGTGTGGGTGACGGGAGGACTATGGGGGTGTAGAGCAGGGTTGCGGTTCAGTGCTTGGTGTACCTCTTTTTGAGGCGCCTCAGAAATTGTGATGGGAGGACTCTGGGGGTGCGGCTTGCTTTTCTGTGCTTGGTGTAGGCCTCTCATGTGTGACGTGCTGGACAGTGCTTGGTGATAGTGAGGGGATGACTTATGGGAGTGCAGTGCAGCGCAGGCTGGCTGTCGGCCTCCGGTATGTAAGGCGGGAGTGAAAGGCTCAGGTGCGATGGGAAAATGAGAGTCAAAATGGTTTGTAAGGGGTGCAGAGCAACGGCCGCCTGCTTCTTTGTCAGCTTATTGAGTTTATGCAGTTTGAAATATTCCGGATATTATAATCTAGGAACATTCTTGCAGCACCGTATATGCTCAAGTGCTATAAAAGAACTGGACCGGATACCGTTACTCACACTGTTGCATTGTAATGCCGTATCACCACGGATAGTAGCGCAGGTGCGCTTAAAATAAAATTGGTTTTTTTTAAGGGGGGCGCTTCTAAATGAGTCTCGGGTGTAAGCGCAGGCGCCTTTAAAATGGAAAAATGAAATGAGTTTTTTCATAACACCTGTAAGGAAAATCCCTTTTTCTTACTTCGCGTCCCTGCTCAGCACGTACACCACTGTTCCCGCCAACAGCACCCCACAGTAATCCGTTACCACTCGCGACACTCGCCTCGACATCATTCCCGCCACTGTTCACGATGCGACCCAGCCTCACGGTTCGGTTGGTAACCCGCGCTCCGAACCTCCGCCTCGACAATACCCAACCTCGGCGTCAGGCCCGTCGCGCACCCCAGGTTACCGTTACCACTGTAGCTTCGCTATATATTCTTCGCTCAAACCTTCGCTCATTGTATCTTGTCTCGATAGTGCAATCCTCACTCGCTCACTCACTTGCACTCGTAGTGCTCTCTCGAAAGCACGCACGGCCACGACAGAGGCTCTCGCTGAGCTTGCCCGACACCCCCGCCATGGCTGAAATCACTCTCGCGACACTGACGCAAGCGCAGCTCGACCGTCTCGTACGCCAACTCGAAGAATCGGCCCTTGAAATCGCCACACTCACGGCGGAACGCGACTCTGCACCAGCACCAACAAACGCACCTGCACCATCAGAAGAGCCGATCGAAACCTCGTCAGGCACACCAACACAGCATGACAGCGTGGGACAACGCTCAGGCGTAGCCAGTGAAGGTGCCGCTCACTCAATGCCTACGAGCCACCGTCGCAAGAAGGGCCCATAGGCCCAGCCGTCACCTGGAGTTCATTCTGCGAGACAGCCCAGTACAGCACGTGGGATGCGTGGTGCGCAGGGCTTCGGGCGCGTTTCGAGCCGATTGCGGCTTCGATTTCGGCGCGTCAGAAGCTGCGCACTTGGCGGCAGCTCGGGTCGGTTCAAGACTACACGAGCGGTTTTCTCGCATTATGCGAGCAAGTCGGCTATATGCACGAAGCGGAGCGGGTGGACCGTTACGTCGGAGGGCTAAAGCCGGACATCTCGCACGAAATCATGCTACGCGGGCTCTCGAATTTCAACGAGATTCTTGCACTCGCCGAGAAAATTGACATTCTACGACGACCGAGACCGGGGTCCTACTACGGACAACGTCCTCGGGGTCCGATCGAGCACGCCACCGTACACGCCGTTGCGACAAATGTAGCTGCCACACCGTTTAAGGGGCGCTGCTTTGCTTGCAATAGGCCGGGCCATCGCAAGAGTGAATGCCCAGAGGAGCTGAGGCGCCGCGGAACAGAGCAGGGGCGAGAGTCTCAGAGGCCGGGAAACGCCAGCAGTCAGTAGAAGTTGGGCCAACTACTGACGAGACTGCCTGCTCGCCCAACTTCACCGACCCTCACCGAGTCACAGTACCGATTCACGCTATCGATCAGGCTCGGACGAATAAGGAGGGTACAACGACGGATTGCCCCACACTGATTCACGGGAAAATACAGGGAGCAGCAGTGAAGATTTTTTATAGACGGAGGCGCAATTCACAGCTTAGTTAATGCCGCGACTGCAAGGAAGCTGCAACTAACACTTAGTCGGTGCTTACCGGAGATAGATGCACGCTTAGTTGACGGAACGCCGCTGGCCATACGGGAAGAAGTGGGGAGAGTAAAAGTTTGCTGTGGGGGAAACTTCGGGTTTACACAAGAAATGCTCGCGACGACATTGGATGGGCACGACATTTTGCTGGGACGTGATTGGCTACGACGATACAACCCGCGAATCAACTGGACGACGGGTAGCTGCACTGTGCGAAGTAGCGGTAACTGGGTTGAACTACCTCACTGGCAGTCGCCCGAGTCATCAACGGTCCAAGTAAACGCCATCACAATGAAACGGGCTGTCGCCGCTGGAGCTGATGTGTACGCGGTAGATATCGCAATGGTGGGAGAGGCAGAGCAGCCGAGCGATTTCCCGAAACTACTGGCGGCGGTACCACCCGAACTACAGGAGCTGTTGAAACGATACCCGGGGAATTTTCCCGACGACTTACCGGAGGGGCTGCCACCTCAGCGGGCACACGATCACCGAATAGAATTAGAACCCGGGGCACAGCCAATCATACAGCGACAGATCAGTCTGACACAGCCCGAGCTCGACGAGCTAAGCAAGCAGTTAGATTACCTGTTAAAGAAAAAATTCATCCGACCGAGCTCATCACTGTTTGCCGCACCGATACCGTTCACACCAAAGAAGGACGGGGGGTTTCACATGTGTATCGACTACAGAGCACTGAACAGGGTTACAGTCAAATCGCGATACCCCATCCCCCGCGCCGACGAACTGATAGATCAACTGCGAACAGCACGGGTCTTTTCGAAAATTGATTTACGGGGAGGTTACCATAAGATTCGGGTCGAACCATCGGACTGTGCTAAGACAACATTTAGAACTAGGTGTTGGAATAACAGTTGCAAGTTAGAAATGAGAAAAGAGAGTTTGCACCAGCAGGCAGTTGAGTACATATAGGAAACCCTAGATTGGGCTGTACTCACTATTGAGTACCCCACTGCAGGCTAGACAAATACAACATTCTGACACACCCCCATAGCCAAAGTGGGGTGTAATCAGCACAACAAGCAAAGCAAAACAAGCTCAGGGTGGATCACAAAGTCACCACACATTCTGAGCACAAGTACAAGAAGCAAAAGTTTATAGTTCACAGTATTAAGTAAAGCTAGAGGCTATCACATAGGGCAAGTGAGGAGGAGAAGCTGGACTGATAGGAAAGGAGAGAGGAGGCAACGGCTGAAGCTGCAGACACACGGGCAACAGGAACGCGCACACTGTGGCTACCGGAGGCGCACCTCCGGACTACAGGGGTAACTGGCTCCGCGGCTAAGACGAGCGGCAGGAGCAACGGACCCACAGGCGACAGGCGCAGCAGGCTCGCTGAGCTACCGGAGGCGCACCTCCGGACTACTGGCGCTGCTGACGACACGACGGCTACCTCCACCCAACCTCCCCCACTGTCGCACCCCCCTGTCACACACCCCCTGCTGCACCCCTAGGTTCACTCACACTCCACCCCCTAGCACCACTCCGTCGACTGACACACACCCACCCCCCTCAGCGGCAGCTGCAGCGGTGGGAGACGGAGGAGGAGGAGAAGCAGGCGAGGCCGCACACCCGCCACCCCCTACTCGCCACCCCCAAACCCTAACACAGGGCAGGGCCATAGATGGCGGGTAGGGAGGTTAGGTAGGGGGGGGGGGGGGGGGGGGGGGGCAGGGCCGCGACAGGGCCGGGGTAGGACAGCTGCAGGGCGGGGTGCCACGACGAAGACGGGGGGGCAGGGCCGCGACGAAGACTGGAGGGGCCGACGCGCGGCCCCCTTCTGTCGCCCCTCCCGTCGCCTGTCGAGGCGACCCGGGGGGGTGGGGGGGGGCGCGCGCGGCCCCCCCCCCCGGGCGCCGCGACGGGCGACGGGAATGGGGGCCGCGCGGGCCCCCGTTGGCGCCGCGACGAGCGACGAGGGGGCCGCGCACGAGCCCCCCGGGCGACGAAACCGCCGTGCGCCCCGGGGCGCGCGACGGGCAGGGCACCGCCGCGCGCCACGGGGCGCACGACGGGCAGAGTAGGGCGTCGCGCGGTCAGAAAACCGCCGCCTTGAGTACCCCACTGCAGGCTAGACAAATATATCATTCTGACACTAGGTACGGATCATTTGAGTACACCGTGATGCCTTTCGGGCTGACCAACGCACCGGCGACTTTTCAGATGACCATGAACGAGGCGTTTAGACCACTCTTAGATAAATACGTGATCATCTACCTCGACGACATTATCGTCTACAGTCGCGACAAGCAGCAACACTTAGCCGATTTAGAAGCAGTATTTACGGTTTTAGACAAACACAGACTACTGACCAAGGGTTCCAAGTGTGAATTCTTCCAGGATAGGCTAGAATTTTTGGGGCATGTTATTTCAGAGGCTGGCGTAGAAATCGACCCGAAGAAACTGGACACGGTAAAAGCGTGGCATCCCCCGACGAACATCATGGAGCTGCAGAGTTTTTTGGGGTTCGTTAATTACGTGCATCGGTTCGTCCCCGACATGGCGCGCTTAACTGCCCCGCTGACAG